GGCTCCAGAGTAACCTAATTTATGCAGTAGCCAAGTCGCTCGCTCACAACTTTGATGCCAGTCGCTCACAAAGTGGAATTTTTGCTCACAAGACTCCACGGCTTAGAGGGAACATTGCCGCTGTCCCCTATGTCCCTACCCCCCCCTTCAGAAACCCGAAATCACACGTGCAGGATTCCTACTAACCCTTCTCGGATGAGTGCCTTCGCCGCCGCCGCCTCTGTGGATTGCGGATACATTTAAACCAAAGTTCGACGGCACCGGGCCTAAAACGCCTTCGTTCTCCTAAAGGAAAAAGGGGGGGAAGGAAACAGTTTGAAATTACAGTCGGTGGCTTTAGCTGGAAGCGTGCGTGACTCTTTGACTGTGCTGGTAAGTTATCTTGAGAAGAACTGTTAAGGCACCAGCGGATTCCGTGCATTAAATCTTTTACCAGCCTCTAAGGTTGCCCCTCGCTTGGCGCTGGAAATCAGAAATAATTCCGACAATTGAGGAGCAGCTGATCAAGGTAATGGAGATTACTGCAGTGGGCAAGCAAACTGGGCAGTGCGCAAGGGACCAGCGTATCTACGGGACCGTCTCCTCCGTCATGTCCCCAGGGGAGCATTGCGCTCTTCAGACAGTAACTTCCTGGTGGTCCCTGGAACCCAGATACTCAGCTGTCCTCAAACACGGGCAGGGCCTTTTCGGTTCTGGCCCCAGCCTGGTGGAACTCTCTGCTGAGTTATGCAATTCCGCAGGGCCTGCAAGGCTGAGATGTTCCGCCAGGCTTTTGGCTGAGGACAGTGAGGGTTTTCAGCTTGACTGACACCCCCTCCCGCTCTCTACATTTGTCTTCCTCCTTCCCCCCTGCCCAGCAGTCTGAAATGGGATTGATTTGTTTGGCATCTGCTTTAAAATGTGCTGTTTGATTTTAAATTGTTTTGTCTTGTCTATGTTTTTACTCGTATTGTACATCGCCCAGAGCCCTGCGGTAACAGGGATTACTAGTATTAATAACAACAACAACATCAATAATAAGGTTCATTGATCTAGATTCCCAGTTGAGACAGAGGGGGGAAAAAGATGCCATTCATTTTATACCGGGGCAGACATTTTGATTCTAGAAGGCAAGAAACAAACATGTTTTTGTAATGCCCATCATGCAAAGTGGTGAAGTTTCCAAGCTGGCAGGGTCCAGACCGAGAGACCCTAAGCTTTTTGAGCCTGCGGGCACATTTGGAATTCTGAAATGGCATGGTGGGCACAGCAGTCAGTCAATCCAGTTACCTTTATTGGCATGTAACCCTTGCAAACCCATATACGACAAAACAACAACAACGGAGGCACAGCAACAAAATGGCCACTGCAGGAGGCGGAGCCAGCCACAAAATGATTGCCACAGCTTAACTTCAGTCGCACGGTGCAAGTTCTTGTGCTGTGGTGGCAGCTAAGCTGCCAAAGCCACATTTTTAAAAAAATCATCCCAGCCAATCAAATCTCCGACAGTTGTTCCAAAGCCTTACTGGGCAAAAGCCCTACCTGCCCACCCCCCACTTCCTGAAAACACTTGGCGGGCACCAGAAAAGGAGTCGATGCCATGGCGCCCACGGGCACCGCTTTCGGGACCCCTGGTCTAGACAGTCCTATAAGGCCCTTCAGTGAAGGGGTCATTTCCTGCAGGAGTGCACAGGAGCAGAGCTCCGGCAGTAAAGAGCCCAGGGGGCAGGCACATGCAACAAGCCCCGCCCCCGGTTTCCAGTAGCTCTCAGTCAGGTCAAGAAGCAGCCAGGTAAGTTGCAGAGCCCCTTTCCCCCAGACTATTTACCCCCAGGGAA